GGGGGGGGGGGGGGGGGGGGGGGGGGGGGGGGGGGGGGACATCATCCGCCATCCTTTACTGGATGGATGTGTTGTGTTGTAGTGTTAGTTTGGACGTGAGGTTATTTGGGGAATACATTTGGGACGATTTGCTTATGTTTTCTTTGTATTTCTAGCCTTTCAATAATGGATTTTCAGAGAATAAGGCCAAAAAGGTAGTTGATGACGGCGAGCATGGGGAGGACGCTGAAGAAGCTGCGGACGGCGAGGAAGGCTTGGAAGAGTCCAGTGGCGGTGAGGAAGACGAAAGTCTAGGCGATGAAGAAGATGGAGGCAGTGAGGACGACGAGGCCAGTTTGGTGTCTGATAACAGCGAGGGACAAGATGAGGATGGCGAAGCGGGTGATTTTGGGGACGAGGACGATGAGGTGGAGGGCGAGGAAGGTGGCGAGAGCGAGGAATAACTTTTTGGATTGCCAGTGGACATCATCATCACCATGATTTTGGTGGTCGTCGTCAGTTTGTTAACCTTTGATTTTGTAAATGATGGAGGAGGAGGCGGCGGCGCAGGTGGTGGTGTGTAGCACAAAAACACTGTATGCGGAATTATGATAATTGTGAATTCACGGTGCTTCCCCGCCTCTCCGGTATTTTTGAAATTTCAGGAAATTCTGTTCTCTTGTTTTGCAGGTTAGCTTCCCTTTTTTGTGAAGTGGTCTTTGAATTTCGCTTTTTCGTTAGGAGGGAGTCAGTTTGCGGGTGAACTGTTGTCAGGAATTCTGAAAAAAGGATTTTAGATCCAAAAAAAGACGGTTTTTCTTTCGGCTGGGTTTCCGCGAACTCATACTTTTTTGAAGAACTATGATTGTTTGTTACTACGTTGTTTTTTTTTTTAACTATGTTTGTTCCGATCACATAATTATTTTTAGGTAATTTTCGCATTTTCCATGTTCCCCAGCGTCTTTACTATTCCCTTTTTTTGTATAAATTTCCGAATATGAGTTTTCCTTCACAGCACTTTTATTAATCCAGTTAGATGAATGCAGTAAGTTTGCATATGATTAAGATCTTAGGCATGTGAAATTTGCATATGTTTTTGAAAATTCATTTTTTTCTGAACCACTTTTAATCGCCACCTCACTATAAGTTCGTCTTTTTCACTCTGTGTATTATGTCTTTGATGTAGACTCGTCGCACGTGTGCGAATTATTGTGTTTGTGCTGATGACTGGTTTATCAGTTCTCCCAAAGTAATCCTTTCTAGCGCATCTTGTTGTTGACATTTTCTACTGGTTGATTGCCGAATCATATAAGGACTGAACGTAGTCAGCAGCGATGCCAGCTGTTTCCGCATATTCAAGTGCTGGTGTGTGCTTGTCCACGTCCCACATGTAAGATTGTGCTGGTTGATGCGATGCTTGTGTTTGGTACAGTTGTTGATGATGTATGTGTACGGCGGTGATATGTAATTGTATCTCTGCTCTGAAGGAAAGTAGTTTGCTTCGCTCCGCAGCATGTCTGTGCGCCTGTGTGTGCGTGTATGTGTGTGTCTCTGTTTGTTTTCCGGAGTATAAAAAACAACCTCATCAAGCATACGCGTTTTACTACATTTCATTTCTGACCCTGAAAGTGTCACATTCGATACGTTAAGTAGTAAGAAAACACACGTAGCATTTTGGACGTCACCAGAAGTGGCTTGTCATTCAGATAGGACAAATGCTTACAAACACTGCGAGCGGGCAGGAATTGTAGTGGCAGAAGATCCGTGGGCATGCTTGCAACTCGGTGTGTATTTGAGGTTTTGTATTGGTAAGTTTTGGCAGCGAATTCCAGGTTTCCGAGGCTTCCTTAAATGAATTTCGGTTAATATTATCTGTCAGGAAAACCGGATGTCTAATTTTGGGTTGCATTTGCACCGTGTTTTCGAGTAGGGTGTTTTTATAGCGAAGCGATGACGAACAAAGCTGTGAGACTGAATTTCTGCGAAGGTACTCTACATTCACGTGTGGTCCAAATACAGTTTGAAGGCTGATTTCCTGGCACATGGGATGGTAAACAATTGTATTGGCATGTCAAAGGTGTTTTTAGCGGTGACGGCTGGCAAAGCCGCAAAGCTAGAACTCGGTGAGGGTATTCTACACTGAAATTTGATACATTGAAATACAGGTTGGAGACAGTTTCCGGCGCAGGGAATGACAAAGATTTTATTGCAACGTCAAAAACTGATGTATTTTGCAGATTTCGTCACCTCTTCCACCATCTTGTTCATTACCAAATTTGCATTTCTAAGAAATAATAAATTGACGTAAACTACCCACTCTTTTTCATGCAAATTTCACAACTATACACGCTTGAGGTGCATGCCGCTTCGTGATGCAATTCTACCGTCGCAGCTGACGTCCCTTCCCCCTAGCACGCAAGAAAAGGCCAAAACACAGTGAACGTGTACCATGAGCCAGTAACCATTGACACTGTTGACGATCCGGCGGCTTCTGTAGGTTGGGCGCAAAAGCATTTCATCGCATCGGCAATCCTGGTCTCTACCGGAATTGTCTTACACCTTACAACGTGAGCACTCATATTAGTAGTGTAGTCCGTCCCATCATGTAGGGAGTAAAGGACGTCGGCCAGTACGGCACTGCCGTACCATGGAAGTGGATGAAATATTGGCCTCTAGCATGCATGATTACCGTAAACTTTGCATGACGGGGAATGAAAAAAACCGAGTTGAAATATCCGGATGGAAACGCATATACACCATGGGTCTTCACAATATGTTTTTGCATGTGTTTTTTCCGTACAGCGGTAGAGCGCTGTAACAGATAACGAAAACGCATTTTGCGGCGACTCTATTTTTGTGTCTATGTTTTCTTGTGTACATGTGTGTACTCGTCTGTCTGGGTATTTCTACTCGGCAACCACGCAAGCTTTGATGCTGAAATTTTGCCAGTTTGTTCCTTGGCCAAGTGCGATCTAAGAATGTGACATCGGCTGTCACGCACTTCTATGTTTCGCGTACTGACACGTGGAAATTTTGGCGGGAAGGTTGCTAACTCGGGAGCGAAGCAAACTGGAAAACTGGAATTTTAATGAATGTCCCCTACTTATGTACGACTAAAGATTTCAAATTCATTTCCTTAGAACCGCCCGGATCTTACGTACAGGTAAGTGGAAGCTTTAGTAAGAAAATTGCTAACTTGGAAACGAGATAAGCTAGAAAGCTGAAACTTAAAACACACGTGAGCAACCGGTGGTCTGCCGATCGGCTTCAATCCGGTCCGCGGAAGGAATCGGGATGTGGTGTCTAGTTAGACGAGCCGGGAGCTTGTCCTCCGCCATGTCTCTGTATTCTCATGAAAATAAGTAAAGCTAAAGTGCACACGAGGCTAACAGACAACAGTCTGGAAAATACTTTATGACTCTGTATTAGTGATCCAGATTTCAATAATCTTGTGTCAAAAGTTCAAGCACAGAGCTCACGTTAGTGTGCTGTTGCTTATTTTTATGCGTTCTTGCTATACAAGCACTATCGCGCTCCTACAGTGAGCAAAAACGCGTTTTTATGCGTTTTTGCCGTGCAGCGCTAGAGCGCTGCAACAGGCAGCAAAAACACATATTGGAACGACCCTGTCAGTGTGTGTGTGTGTGTGTGTATGTTTGTGTGTGTGTATGTGTGTGTGTGCGCGTGTGCGTGTGTGCGCGC